TGGTGCTTTAATTCCAGTAATTGATGAAGAAATTGATAAGGCTGAAAAAGCTGGCAGACCATTATACTTCGTTGCCACTGTTGTAGGAACGAATAAAGATCCGCAAAATTATGATGAAACAGTTGAGCGCTTAAAAGAACATGGCGTTTTAGTTGAGAAGAGCAATGCAAAGGCTGTTCAACTAGCATTAAAGTTAAAAGGAATTCAAATTTCTGAGCCAGATAAAACAAATATTCCATATACAGGGAAGAAAATTGCATTACCAACTGTTAGCAACGAAGTAAAGGAATTATTAGCTACAAAACCACGAGTAATTAATATTGGTATTAATAGTTTTACCGATTCGATTATTAAATATGGTGGAAAAACTGTTCAATTCAATTGGAAGCCACGCGCTAATGGTAATAAGCGGATGATTAAGTTATTAGATGCACTAGAAAAGTATGATGACAAGATTGACGCAGACAATGAAAAGGTAATTCAAAGATTTAAGGATGCAAAACCGTTTCTGACTGATGTAGTTCCTGCTAAGACTGTTATTCCTGAACTGAATACTGAGCACAAGACATTGTTGCATGCAGGACCGCCAATTACATATACAGAAATGACAGGACCTATGCAGGGCTCATGTGTTGGTGCAGCAATATTTGAGGGCTGGGCAAAAGATGAGATTGAGGCACGAAAGTTATTGGAAAATGGAGAAATAAGTTTAATGCCTTGTCATTCTGTTCATGCCGTCGGACCAATGGGTGGAATTACATCAGGAAATATGCCTGTTGTCATTGTTGAAAACAGATTGGACAATACGAGAGCTTATTGCACCTTGAATGAAGGTATAGGTAAGGTTTTGAGATTTGGAGCATACTCTCAAGAAGTTATTGATCGGCTAGTTTGGATGAGGGATGTACTCGGTCCAGTCTTATCAAAAGCTTTAAAGAAAACTGAGGATGGCCTTAACTTAAATGTCTTAATAGCACGTTCTATTACAATGGGAGATGAGTTCCATCAAAGAAATATTGCCGCTTCAGCAAACTTCTTATGTTCAATAGCGCCACTAATTAGTGAACTAGATATTAGTGAGAAAGACAGATACGATGTAATTAATTTTTAGCAGATACTGATCAATTCTTCCTCAACATTATGATGGCTACTGGCAAGTCAATTGCTGATGCTGCAAGAAGTATCAAAAAGGTACTATCGTAACTGCAATGGCTAGAAATGGACGTGATTTTGGTATCCGTATTGCTGGTATGGGAGACCAATGGTTTAAAGCACCTGTAAATACTCCTAAGGGCCTTTATTTTGCAGGCTTTTCAGAGGATGACGCTAACCCCGACATTGGCGATTCTTCAATTACAGAAACTGTCGGTGTAGGCGGTATGGCCATGGTAGCAGCTCCTGGTGTAACAAGATTTGTTGGTGCAGGCGGTTTTGAAGATGCATTAAGAATTTCCAATTCCATGGAGAAGATTAATACCACTCACAATCCAAATTGGTCGATTCCAACTTGGGACTTTAAAGGCACGAACTTGGGTATTGATATTAGAAAAGTAGTAGAAACTGGCATTGAGCCAATTATTAACACAGGTATTGCACATAAAAAACCAGGTGTTGGTCAAATTGGTGCTGGTACTGTTAAAGCGCCAATAGCCTGCTTTGAAAAGGCTTTGGAAGCCTATGCTAAGACCTTAGGTATCGAAGTTGATTAATTCTCATGTTGTTCAAAATTAGTAGTTACATTAATCCCATTACTAAATTTGGCAAAAATGGCAAAATCATTCAATATTCA